GCAAGGAGGGACTGGTCCTTGGAGAGGGACATCATGTTTGGCAGAGTGGAGGGGTCGTGAAGGAGAGGAAGACCTTCGATGAGATAGATCGATTCTGTGACTGGAGCAGTGGGAATAAGTGTGTCTGAGATGGCTAGGTTGGCACAGGACAGAACAGTGTTTAGAGCTCTTGTTCACAGGGTCACTATGAGTTGCAAACGATTCAATGGCACATAACAACAACAAAGAAAAAATATTTGAGATGTATAATTTCACTTTATAGATTTTTTTTCTTTCAAGACCTGCTATCTTAAAAAAAAAAAAAGACCTGCTATCTTTGCATATTAACACATGCCTAGCTTAATTCTGTGTTATCATAAGTAAATATAATAGTAATTCTTTTAGAGAAAATGTAGTTTGAGTGGACCCTCTTTCTTTCCTCAGTAGAGATGACGGCAAAGGGGAGTGATAGTCAGATGCAGGGACCTGAACTGGATCTTTCACCAATTTGTTCCCCTGTCACCAACAGCACCCTGTGTCTTGAAGTCTGGAGGCAGGCAGGCTCTTCATATCACTTCTGTGTTTTTACAGCTCTTCACATTTCAAACCAAAGGCCAAACCAATTGCCCTCAAGTCAATTCTAACTCATGGTATCTCCAAGTTTGCTGGAGTAAAACTGTGTTTCACAGGGATTCTGATGGTTGATTTGTCAGAACTAGATCACAGGCCTTTAGTCTGAGCCAAACTGTGTGTGAATGTGAACCTTCAAACTTTTTTTAGCTGAGCCTATTAAGGGCTCATATGACTCAGGGATTCCTCTTACTTGCTAACTATCAAACCCATGGCTGTCAAATTGGAACTGACTCTAACTCTCCAGTGAATTTCCAAGGCTGTAAAATGGCATGGGAGATTACCCATCTTTCTTCCTCACACAGGCTGGTAGCTGCAGAGCTTCCTTCTTGTCTGATACCTACAAATAAAGAGCTGAAGGAGCCTTGGTAACACCAAGGTAAAGTACTCAGCTGCTACAGGAAAGGTCAGTGGTTCAAACCCTCAAGCCACTCTGTGAGAGAAAGATATGGCCGTCTGCTTCTGTAAAGATTACAGTCTTGGAAACCAACTCTGTTCCATAGGGTTACTATGTATTTGAGCTATGGATGACAGTATTTTTCTCTTCCAGATAAGGGCTAATACTTCTTTTTTTTTGTTTGTTGTTGCCTTTACCTGTTCATCTGAGAACCGACTCTGTGTCTGAACAGACAAAATGGCAGGACACATGCTCTCAGATCTCATTTCCTGGTGGCAGCTTTAAGGGATGGTTTCTGAAGACATAATACTTTCAAGAGCTGGGACTGAAACTCTGCTAACTGGTCCACAGGGCAATGAAGCCCTTGACCTTGGCCTCATTAACTCCATTCTCTTACCTACTGAGCTCACTGCCACCGGTATTATAACGCTTAAAGAGTGCAGCTCATTACCAAGTGCGCGGTGGCACATCTCTATTTACGTGGTTTGAGAACAGCTCTGAGAGTAAGTCAGCTTTCTCGGTTGATGAGCTCCTTCTGAGGAAAATGACAACAAACACACCTACTTGTGAGTCAAGTCAGGCCAAGGAGAAAGGAAGAAGGATTTATGAAGAGATGAGATGGTAAGCCTCCAATCACATTCGGGAATGAAAAGGGGACCAGAAATTTCAAACAAGATTTAAATAAATAAATAAATAATAATAATAATAATAATAATAATAATAATAATAATAATAATGAAAGGTCGAGGGAGAGGGAACGGGACAACAATAATACCCCTTTTGCACTGGAGGAGCCAGGCAATAATTCTTGCCTTTCTGTAGAGCATTAGTAAACCCACCTCCTCTACTCTGGAGTGGTTGTTGGCTATTATAAAAGCCGTTAATGTCCACGGCAGGAAGAGAAAAAGAATGTAAAAGTGAGTTTGGGTTGGGGGCACAGCTACTAAATTTAGGGGTGAGGCTTGGGAGGAAAGGATGGGAGAATCAGGCAGAGAGCTTGCGGGACACATGCGTTTATTCTCCACCATGGAGTGAGGTGAGGGGACCTGCTGTGAACACTTGGCACAAAGAGGAGATGGCATTGCCTGGAGTCAGTCTTTCGGGCGTGAACTGTTAATTAAAACCTCATTTTAAAAATCTGTGATGAACAAAACAAAAATATAAGCCCTGCTCTTACAGATGCTCAATCAATTGAAGGAACTGTCCCACGGGCTGAGGATTTTAGGCTCCTTGTAATCTGGTTCCAAGGATAAGGACAGTGTAAAAGTCCTGAAACACTGAGTATCCCTCGTGCACTCAGGGTTGAATCCAGCCTCCAGGAAGACTCAGGTGAGTCTCAGAGGCCACGCTCCCCACAGGACACCCCGAGATGCTCAGCTGGTACCTGAGTGGTGCTCAAAGTTAGATTTTCATATCTAAAATCTGTACCCAAACACTTGCTTTGAAACTGTGTCCAGGGCCGTGATTCAAGCCTGGTCTTCTCTTTTCCACAAATTATTTCCTGTTGTGAATAACAAGAGTAGCGAGGGTTGAACGCGTCCATTTAAATCAGCACTGATAGTGAGTCCATTGCAATCTACAGCACCAAGGAGAAATCCCTGACCTAACTCGGGGTTCATAGAATCTGGAGTGTTTTGGTTTGTTGGTTGTTGGTGTTGTTTTTTTTTTTAAATTCCTCCTCCTTATATTATACTCTCTGCTCAAAATTATTCAGTGACTTCTTTAATTTCCCTCCAAGGCCTAGAAACCAGAGCCTTTCTCTATTCTCTTTGGATTAGTTCTGCAATGGCAAAAATGTTGACTCCTGGTAAAGCTGGATGATGGTTTACAGAGCTTGGGTGGTCTAAAGAATAACAGTTGTGATGCCAACCCAAAGACAGGCAGTTCAAGTCCACTAACTGCTCTGAGGGAGAAAGATTGACAACTGTCTTCCAAGTGATTCACTACCTTTGAAAACTCACTGGAGGGTCAGCTGGAGGTCAGCTTCACCTCGATGGCACACTACAGCAAGTGGAGAGAACAAATGAAATACATCCAGCAGCACTCTCCCAAGCAGATATTTAAACTTTAGTTGTCTCCTTTGTGGGAATCCCTGAGTTGTGAAGAGGATTAAGCCTAACTACTAGCCAAAAAGTTTGTGGTTCAAACTCAGTAAAAATGCCTTAGAATATGAAAACCAAAACTCAAAACTGCTGTTGTTGATTCGGACTCACAGCCATCTTATGGGATAGAGCAGAACTCCCCCCGAGGATTTCTGAGGCTGAAAAGCTCTACAGAAGAGACGGCCACCTCTTTCTCCTGTGCAGTGGCTAGTGAGTTCAAGCTAATGCTCTTCTGGTTACCAGCTCATTGCTTTTACCACTATGCCACTAGGGCTCCTTCCTTTGAAAACAGGCCTGGCTGCTCACTCTGAAAGGTTACAATCTTGGAAACACTATGGAGCAGTTCTGTATGCACGGGCTGGTCATTAGTTGGGATCTACTCAGGCAACCAACACTGACAATACCTGGGGTACAGGCAGTCCCCTGGCTATAAATGTTGGACTTACGTACAACCTGGAATTACAGACAAATCCCCCAACAGCCCTGATATATGAAAAAAATCAAGGTGCATACAATGATTTGTAATGACAGGTGAGTGGCACTTTGTGAGGAAGAACAAAATATTATTTATTGCTGTGTTATTACGTTAAAGGCATTTTAGTCATCTGTAAGTATATCTTTCATTTTTTAATTCACAGAAAAGTACACCATCTACTAAGACAAAGATCTAACTGACACCAGAGCTTATATATATATACTTTTACACACACACACACACACGTTTGTTGTTGGTGAGTACCATAGAGTCAGAATCAACTCATAGTTGACCCTCTGGTGGGTTTTCAGAGGCAGTTAATCACAAAGGAGGAGACTGCCCATCCATCTCTTTTGGAGCTGCTGGTGGCCTCAAACCACATGCCTTTGGGACTGCAGTGCAGTTTCTTGCCACTAGGTCACCAGAGCGCCTATACATATATGCATACACACATACAATCTCCAGTCTCCTCCCATGTGATTAACTGCCTCTGAAAAACCACCAGAGAGTCTGCTATGGGTCGATTCTGACTCAACAGTACATGACAACAACATAATTATTTATATATATGTTGTATATAATATATATTATGTATATTATACATCCTGGAAGTAGGAGCAGCGTCCACTTCCGAAATGGTTTGCCTCCGGAAACTCTACATACAAACAGTGCTCAGGCTGTTCGTTCATAAGGTCACTATGAGTCGTCTATGACTCGAAGGCATAAAGCAACAACAACAACAACAACAACATATTATATATATTGTTGTTGTTATTAAGTGCAGTTGAGGTGTAGATGACTCATAGTGACCCTATAAATTAAAGACCTGAACTCTTGTATAACTTTCATCATTTCTCCAAGTTCAAAGAGTTTCCAAAGGCAAGCTGTTCTGGAAATGGATGCCACTCCTGCTTCCAAGCTTGTTTTAATCAGGGAGCTCCACCAAACACTTTGCACCATGGGTGACCATTATCACATTTGACACATCAGTGTCAAAGTGTTTAGTATCACAGCAACCACGAATTATCTCTGTACAGTAAGTGGACAGACCAGTGCTAAACCACCTAGAAGAATGTTTGACCAAAAATAATTAAAACCAGGTCTGAAGGCCACAGATTAAAATCACCCACCTTTGTTTTGGTAGCAAAACTTTCTATCAACTAGGACAAAAGAGCTCTCTCCTTGTTATTGTTGTTAAGTGTCATCGAGTCGTAGACAACTCGCAGCGATCCTATGAACGAAAGACCTGAACGCTTGTGTAACTTTCATCATTTCTCCAAGTTCATAGAGTTTCTGGAGGCAAGCTATTTTGGAAGTGGATGCCACTCCTGCTTCCAAGTTTATTTTAATGAAAAGCAATAATCTCTATTGGATTTGTCTGAATGGCAGGCAAGCAAGCAGGAGCTTCCATGGGTACCTTCCTCGTGGTTCTGGTGCAGTATGACCTCTGGCTGGGTGTGCAGTGAGTTTCCAGGGTGGAAGAATGGTGAGAAGAGAATTCGAGGTTTCCTCTGCTTCAGAATATGCTGAAGGAGTTCATAGAGCACATCACCTGAAAAGAGGAAAAGGTGGTAAGAAAAATGGAATACTCTGTTCAACTATTTACTGATCTGACCATCAGTGGATCGGCACAATGTTAAGGATACTACGGTTAATAAAACACCCATGCTGCCTACTCTCATGGAACTGACAGAGGGCACACTGTAGTACCTGAAACACAATCGATCAAAGCTATGTGGTCTTTTCATCAAGACTTTTTGATTATGAAAGTTATAATTATTAATTATACAAATCTAGAACATGTTAAAAGCTAGAAGAAAATACACTTATAACCCCACTACTAAAAGAGAGAAGCTCTGTTAATAAAATTTATAATTATACTTCATCTTACATACTTTGAGCATGGTATTAGGAGGAGCCAGTCCTTGGAGAAGGACATTGTGCTTGGAAAAGCAGATGGTAAGTCTAGTACAGAGAAGAAGGCACTTAAGAAAGAGTAACACGATGTTACAGAAAGACTGTTACAATGGATTGGAGCACAACAGAGACCGAGGATGGTACAGGATTGGGTCAAGTCTCATTCCATTTATTCCACATGGGGTTGCTGTGAGTTGAAGTCAAGTTGGAAGCATCTAATAACATATATTCCAATTAGATAACTGGAATCAGACCTTCAATAGTTTAGCATCCTTCCTTTTCCCTTCTACATTATGTTTTGAAGATTGTATCATATTACTGAACTACACAGTAATAGCCCATCACAGGGATGTACTAGAATTTATTAGAAAAATAGAAATTGTCTCAAGTTTTTCCATTATGTTTTTGCAGAAAAAAATATCATTTTCTCTTTCTCTCACATTCTCTCTCTCTCACACATACACATGCATACACACACACACACATGCACACACGCTTGCATTTCAGACTCCCACTGTCATGCAGTCTCTTCTGACTTGTAGTGACTCTTAAGGTAGAGCATAACACCTAATCTTCCTCCAAAGGAGTGGCTGGTGGATTTGAATTGCTGACCTTTGGGTTAGCAGTGTAATGCTTAATCTACAGTGTCATCAGGGTGCCTTCATTTCAGATTATTCATAAAGTAAGTAATTTTTAATGTTCCATTGGCAATGCAAAGATTCTTCATAGGAATATATTCCCTATAGGGACTAAACAAGTCTTTTAATCCACACCAGTTGTAGCAGGAGGAGAATAAATATCAAGAAAAATCACCAGTCCAGTCAGAAATGCCAACTATTGAAGATGTCCTATGAGGAGTTGGTGTATTCTGGGATACCTCCCTCTAAAAAATACACATACACCCAAGGTCCCACAATCCCTCCTTTAAAAAATACACATACATCCAAGGTCACACAATCCTTAGGAAAACCATCTATAGATGCCAGCTCCTCCCGGAGGGTGGTGGGGGTTGGTTTGGACGGGGGCCTTCGTGCTGATATATTTGGTATTAGAAGTGCCCACCAAATGTTGAATTAGCAAAAAAGAAACCATCATGTTCTTGTCCCACCCATTTGGCTGAGCTTCAAGTTCAAAAAGCAGGTGGGTGCCTCAAAAATCTTTTGGGGAGGGTGACTAATCTTTAAAATACCACTGGCTTCTGCTTGTCCCCCACAGCCTGTTCCCCACACAGGGAAGCAGTCAACAACTGCACCACACAATGGGCTTTTGTCACTAATTTTAGCAGTTTTTAAAAAACAGATACTTTAATTAACAACTTAATTTAACTGCATATTTGGGGCTGTATTGCTTTATTTTTTTTCTCTTTTAAACTCAGCATGAGCCTGAGAAATGCTCCCTATTAATTTCTCTCTGCAAACCGCCACTCCTGTACCTTTCATCCACAAACACCAAATACAAGTCCCACGGATACAGTAGTCTAAATGATTCCTGAGGGAATCTGTGACTTTGCTTTGACTTGACTTCTGCCTCTCCTTCTGATTTCTGATCACTAATGTACTGTTTACGGTTTACGGTATGACTAACAAAAGCAAATCAAAAAACAAAACCCACTGCCATGGATTGAGTCTGACCCATACTGACCCTACAGCACTGGGTGGCACTGCCCCATTGGGTATGCAAAGCTGTAATCATTATAAAAGGAATTCAGGTGGTGTAGTATGTTATACGTTGGCCTGCTAACCAGGCAACTGGTTTGAATCTGCCAGTGGCTGTCCTGCAGAAAAATGAGGCAGTCTCTGCCCATAAATGATTGGGTTCCCAGCCTTGGGAAACTAATAGAGGGGTTGCCGTTGGTTAGAATCAACTCAGTGTTTTTGAAGCAGATTAGGGAGCTGTGTGATGTAGCCTGTTGAGAACTGCACTGCTTGCTAGCTCTAGCTGCTGGAAGCCAACAGTGGCTACAAGGGTAAAAGACAGTCACTCTCCTTCAGGGCAACTGACAGCCTGAGAAACCCAACAGAGAGTCAGCCGGGAACTGGAAATGGACTTGACAGCAATGTGTATGAAAGCAGATCGCCACATGTTTTCCTGAGTCAGGCTGGCAGGTTTGAACCATTGATTTTTTGGTTTACAAGTGAGTACTATAATGGCTGCATCCATCAGGGTTCCTAAGTAAGGCAAAAAGACTGATGAGCTGAAGACACAATATCACTTGAGTGTTTCATTAAAAGGAGATGGGCAGGAAGACAAAGAGGGGTTCCAAACGAGACTTTTAAAAATCTCAAGCAGAGCACAGAGCCCCCGGCACACACACTAGGCACCATTTTAGCTCTGGGAAGGGCTTCAGAAGTCCAAACCTAGTCGTCATGGTAATGTGGTTGGTCTATGATGAAATGCAGATACAGAGCCTGAAATACAGTCCTATTTTAATGATTCATATTTTAATCTCCTACAGAAATAAGCCCCTAATCAACACTTTGTTTCTTTTGGTTTACTGTAATGTCACTCTGAACTTTTCCTAATTTACATAGCCTCACACTTGTTGGGTTTATCCTGTGGGCTTGATCTACGTCTTATTTTGGTAAGATGCAGAATAGAAAACATTTAAAAATGCATTCCTGATGATTACTATTACCAAAAAAATGGTCAGTAATTAGCGCATCCATTTTGGAAGGGGAGGCCAGGAAATATAAATTTAGTGTCTGTGAGGGTGTTCAACTCGGTTCCCTCAGAAAGGCAAGGAGACGTGCGGTGCAGGGCAGCAAACGCGGAGGCAGCTGCCTGAGCTGGAAGCCCAGTGCCATGAACCAGGTGACCTTGAGTAAGGGCCCGAAGGTCTCTGCAAATGCAAACACCAACACTGATCTCCTAACTGCGGAGGATGCTGAGAAGCATCTAGAGCAGGGTTTGGTGCTCCTGCTTCACACAGACTCCCTGCCCTTTTGGGGGGTCATGCTCCTGGGTGTAGGGAAACCGGGGGGTATGGGATGAGGGCAGTGGGCAAGTTTCTTCTTTCTCCATGTTTCCGCTACTCTATCGTCATACAGAGAACTAGGCAATGCAGCAGAAGGGTTAAAAGTTTATGCTTTTTAGTCAGACTGATGCCACCTTATGTCTGTTCCTTAACTTCTCTAGACCTTCCTTTCTATATCGACAAAATGACGTTTAACAATATCTACCTCTGAGGATTAACTGAGGTAAACTGTTACAAACTTGCCACAGTGTTGGGTCAACAGTAAAAGTTCAGTAACTACCAGCTGATGCAGTTACTACCATCACCACCACCATGACGATAATCGCCATCATCACCATCACCATCACTACCACCATCACCTGTTATTTCCACCATCACCACCATCAACACAACCATCACTACTATTGTCAAAGAGGGCAGACCTGTAAGGTCACAAGGAGATCTTAAGGAGAGAAAAAGTGAGTGCTATCTGGTCAACATTCTCCTCTTTTAAGGATCTGCAGCTTCAGAACCTCAATGAATGGTCGCTAAGTTAAAGCCCAAGAAATGCAGTGGAGGGTCAACTTGGTGGCAATATATTTGATTGTTTGGTTTATCTGGGTCTTGATTAGCATTAGGTTCTTTCTCTAGAAAAAAACAATGACATTTACTAAGGTCACTCTTTCACCACTGGTCTTCAGATACCTTAACCTGGCCAAGCTCACACTCTCCCAGGCATCCTATACTGATTCTCTTTAGCGTCTCCTCCCTTGCTGGTAAAGGGAGCTGTGAGATCATGTTCCTCTCCTCATTCCTAGTGCTAGGACAAACAGGAGCTACCTGAGGGGACTCTCAGCCGGACTCCACAATAAAGGTTTTAGGCCAGGGATAAAACTTAATTCTCAGGTCCTGCAGAGCTCTGGTGGCCTAGTGGATAAGGAGCTGTATTTCTCAACTCAAAAGCAGACAGTATGAATTAATTGGCTGCTCCTTGGAGAAAAATGAGTAGTCTCCTCCTGTGTGATCTACAGTCTCAGAAACCTACTGGAAGGTCAGCTGTGAGTTGATCCTGACTCCAGAGCACATAACCAACAACGAAGGGCCTACACTTTATGATCATCAGGGTCAGAAACCATGAGACACAGTGGTGGAATGTGGCTGGCTCCGCACGAACACATCACTACTACTGGGGAAAAGAACTCTTGTGCCTGCCCAAATGTGTCTGCCTGTCTGTGATGTAATCACATAGGATACATGTCCTTGAATACTTCATTCTGTCCCTCTGCCCACATCATTCACCAATATGGTCCTCTTCCAACAGTGTTTTCGTACCAACAGATGACAAGCCACTTGACCATATGGAAAGGAAAGCCACTTGAGGATCATTGAGTCCTTACCCAACCCTATGAAGAGCAGGATCCAGGCGACAAAAAGATAGTAGGAGGAAAGGCTTGGTGATAAACTTCTGCAAACCAGCGAGGGAAAACTACCTATCATAATGATCTAATGCAATGGACTACACGGATGGCACAGGAGGAAGCACTGCTTTGTTCCACCGTGCACAAGGTTACTAGTAATTGAAGCTGACTCAACGGTGGCTAACAACAGCTGATAGTAGGTTCTTTTGTTGCATTTGAATCCAGTTATCCATGAGATCCCATGTAACCTGGTTTTTAATCTGG